CATGTGATTTCCCCTCCTACTGGTAAGACTTGGGATGTGTACAGGTCAATGAGTATTCTAACTTAGTAGTAAATTCTGCCAGTAGTGGCACCAGAAAAAAATTCTGGGAAGACACAGAAGAGGGCAAAGTATTTTTCTGCGTGGGCAAGCTTAACAGAAATGTAAAGAGATTTCAGAAAGAAAAAGTACATTTCATGGCAAAACTGCAATGCTAAATATGTTTTCTCTGAAAGAAAATCACGTTGTTAGTCAGTATTCATTTTTATATAGCATGAAATTTTCAAACAAGTTTTAAGTTGCTACATAAACATTTTTGTGGTATACACATTAAACAGACAGAACTTTCTCTAGAAAATGGCTACTTTTTGAAGCAATGAATGCAGAACTCTCTAACTGTAAGGAAAGTAAGAGCAAACTATGACACCTGGTCCCTGTAAACAAAAGAAACCCAATGTATGTTGTTTTTTCATCTTGTGTATGAACTGAAAGAGAAAGCAGAGAAAGAAAGCATGGTATGCAGATCTAAAGGAGCTGAATGTGTCAATTTTCATGCAGTTCTGCAAAATGATTGATAAGTTTCAAGGTCAAGGATTTTGCCTTTTTAAAAAATTGCCAGTATGGCAGTACTTTTTATGACCCATTCTGTTCATGACCCATTCTGTTTCTTAAGTAGGCCTTAATCTGCTGCAGACTTGATGGAGATATTGTGACGGCTATGGCACACAGTCTGTGAAGTTCACTGAATGATGGGCAGGGAGAAACCCCGCCCCCAAGAGCGACCACCCGGCCTCCCGGCCTCTTCCCAACAGCGTTTAAACGCTGCTGGGGAGAGGTGGGGGCCCGTGCGCCTGCACTCTAAGCCCCGAATTCGGGGCTCAGAGTGCAGGTACATGTGGCTCCTCCCCCACCTCTCCCCAACAGCGTTTAAAGGATGTCTTTAAACACTGCTGGGGAGAGATGGGGGCTGCACGCCTGCACTCTGAGTTCTGAATTTGGGGCGCGGAGTGCAGGTGCATGCAGCCTCCCCCCATCTCTTCCAGCAGCATTTAAAGAGACTCTTTAAACGCTGCTGGGAAGAGGCGGGGGCCTCCGCTCCCCAACATGATGACATCACTTCTATGTGACAATATCATGCCGGGTATTCCCCACCCCCTCCAGTAATGCCCCCCAAAGTCCTCCGCTGGGGACTTTGAGGGACCTGGCAACCCTACTATAATGTCTTGCAAATGGTCTGAGTTTTTGTGGCTCAAGAAAGTAACAGCACCTGGGATTGAAAGCACTAACCCCATTTAAAACATTGCAATTGTCTGGAAATCTTCTCTTAAGTTCACTTATAGTGTGATCAATAACAGGAAGGAACACCTTAATTTTAAAATTATGGTCATTTTGGGGATAGATGCTTCCTGCTGTGTTTAAATCAGTAACATAGCTTTGGAATTTGGGGGGGATACAGCATATTCTCTTTTCTTTAGATTGCATTTTGATTGAATTTTCTTCTGCAAACATCTCTACTTCTGGCATAATTGTTGAAATTTTCATCCTGATCCCTTAGTTAAGGAATTAACTAGAATACAGGATTGAGCCAAGTCTCAGTCTGATTTTTGTAAATAGTCTGACGCCACTTTAAGTTCAAGAAGCAATTTTTTATGGTCTGAGCACTCTCATAAAATACTATTGAGATCCTTCTAAAATATATCTGGAATTATTATACGTTACTATTATAGCAATCTTAGAATAATTGGAAAAGCACAAGAAAGTTACAAGGATATGGTAATAGGAAGATCCCGCTGACAAGTTAATAGATGGCATTGTGATACATGTATCTACACTTACAGTTGGTATTAATGTTTATACAGTAATCTTGCGATATAATGGGTTTATTTATGTATACTTGACTTATCTTTTAATAAAATTAATTTTTTTAAAAGCAAATCATATGCCTTCAGGTACATGTCACCCTGAATTTCTAACTGACATTTGTGATGCCTCAGATGTTATGTGTAAAAACAAAAGATTTTTGACATTTTCCACTGGCCTCATATCTTATAGTTGTACATCTAAAGGTTTGGTAGTTGTAAATCGTTCGCCTCCATGCTGAAATGGCATTTGAATCCAAATGATGCATATTTTTGAATCAGTTTACACAGCATTCCCGCTATGGGTATAAATGCTTTTAATCTCAGCAGGGGTCTTAAAACAAGCTACCAGTTGCCTATTGAGTAGTGTGGTTGGGAGTTCAAAGGCACTAAAATTATGCTCATAATAGTTCAGAAATACACATTAGAATTCATAGTATGTTTTCTAGTAATTTTTTATACCAGATCTAGATCAGCTTCACTCCAGTGTTAGTAATGGCTCTCTCCCTCAAACTGAATCTGGTCAGACAGCCACCAAAAACTGATAGGCTTCAGTTTTGTATACATTTTATACAAAAATAGTTCTTTACCTTGATCACTTTCTCTGCGTTTATTTCAGCCTATGAAATTTTTACAGTATCTACCATATAGCTCCTTGACATACACTGAAGTGCCTGTCAACTTGAAGTGCCACATGACCTGGAGTTAGGGTTGCCAAGTCCATCTTCCGCCCTCAGCGGGGGACTTTGGGGGCGTTCCTGGAGGGGGCGGGGCATCACCGACATGATGATGTCATGTTGGGGACATCTGCTGCCGCCTGATCTCCAGAAACGCCAGTTTCCTGCACTTAAAGGAGCCGGCGTTTCCCCTTTAAGTACACGGAGCCGGCGTTTCCCTTTTAAGTACACAGAGCTGGCATTTCCCTGCAAGCCTGATCTCAAGCGGAGGCTTGGGAGGAAACGTGGGCTCCATGAACTTAAAGGCAGCCACCCCTCTCTCTCAAGAGAGAAGGGAGAGGGGTGGCTGTGGGTGGCGGGTAGAACCCCCTTCCAAAAAACCAGGGGACCCCTGGCAAACCGGGGGGGTGGCAACCCTACCTGGAGTAGACTTTTAAATGGTTCAAAATGGCTTCCAGCAAGCCAGTAAACGGCCCCCCATTAGCAAAGGTTTAATAAGATACATGGCCTATATGTCAAACATCACTGGTCTACTTTCTTTTTAAAATGTGGATTTAACAGTGGATCTGTGAATTAAACTGCTGTACACCCAGTTAATACCAGAGTGCCAATAAAAGGTTAGATCTTAGAATATGTTTTATGCTTCTGAATTTTGGATTTAAGAATGATAGCATATTTTGTGTTTGTGGAGAGCTGAACTGGATTTTGGCAACAGCTAAACTGTGACTGATCTGCCGTGTGCATCAAAAATATCCAAGAGTCAGTGCATCTGTGTATTCAGTTTTTATGTTAGTAATTTACAGGATTTAAAAAAAAACTCTCTAAAGGGAAAGAAGCTTTCAATCTGTGTGCTGAAAACTCATGAGCTTTTGTTGAAGAGGTTCCAGAAATCTGTTCCAGAGCATTCCCCCCAGAAAAAAAGCCCTGATAATTTAAGAGAAGCAAATGTTCTAGCACTATTTTTTTTATCACAAAACAGACTTTATTAATATACCAAATATTAGCTCAAACCATCTACAGATCTGTTACATACAATATTGTGTTTTTCTTATCCAAATGAAGAAAAATGGAGGGTAAACTTGTTTGGACAATTTTAACAATTAATGTTTAAGAGGGACATCAATTAATTTGGACATCCAGAAGGAGGCATACACCACAAGACAGGTAAAGATCGCTGAATGGACATGCCATGCTATGTAAAATGCCCTTTGCAAGTTACTGATACAAATCACCAAACAAAGCTTGTTTCTCTTAATCATCTGCACAGTTACTTTTCTAACAAATGTTAGTTTCCCAAATAGGATGGAAATTTGTAGAGAGGTGCTCCTACTTGCTGCCATGGTTTTTGTTTCACATGTGCAGTGATTAAGAAAACAAATATATTACGTACACTACAAAAAAAATCTCTTTTAAAGGCTTAAAGCATATACAATCACATTGAGGCCCCAAATATTGTTTTTGATTATTTTCCCTCCAAATTTAAGAAATTACTTTCCTTTTCAGATATATTTGATTTTTAATACAAATCATTTATGTACCAGAAATCTTACAATTATATACATAATTTCATTAGCACTCTTGTTATTACCATAGTTCTCATAAGTCTGAGTTTTTCAAAATTGAGCTTTGCTCTACAGAAGTGTGGAAAATAAAAACGAAACCTTCTTGTAAATATTTACATAAGAACATAAGAACATAAGAGACGCCAATGTTGGATCAGGCCAAAGGCCCATCCAGTCCAACACTCTGTGTCACACAGTGGCCAGAAATACCAGTGCCATCAGGAGGTCCAGCAGTGGGGCCAGGACATTAGAACCCCTCCCACTGTTGACCCCCCCCAAGCACCAAGAAGACAGAGCATCACTTGCCCCAGAGCCCCTAGCTATACCTTGTGGCTAATAGCCACTGATGGACCTCTGCTCCATATGCTTATCTAATTCCCTTTTGAAGCCGTCCATGCTTGTAGCACCCACCACTTCCTGTGGCAGTGAATTCCATGTGTTAATCACTCTTTGGGTGAAGAAATACTTCCTTTTATCCGTTCTAACCCGACCGCTCTGCAGTTTCATGGAGTGCCCACGAGTTCTTGTATTGTGAGAAAGGGAGAAAAGTACCTCTTTCTCTACCTGCTCTTTCCCATGCATAATCTTATAAACCTCGATCATGTCACCCCTCAGTCGTCTTTTCTCCAAGCTAAAGAGCCCTAAGCGCTTTAACCTTTCCTCATAGGGAAAGTGTTCCAACCCTTTTATCATTCGAGTTGCCCTTTTCTGCACTTTTTCCAAAGCTATAATATCCTTTTTAAGGTGTGGTGCCCAGAACTGCACACAGTATTCCAAATGAGGTCTCACCATTGATTTATATAGGGGCATTATTATATTGGCTGATCTGTTTTCAATACCCTTCCTAATAATCCCCAGCATAGCATTGGCCTTCTTTATTGCAGTCACACACTGTCTCGACATTTTCAGTGAGTTATCCACTACAACTCCAAGATCTCTCTCTTGCTCAGTCTCTGCCAGTTCAGACTATTTTTGCAGTATATTTTGCAGTATAATACAACAGCCATATCTAGGCCAAAAATGTTAGATAAAACATCTCAGAACAAGGCAAGAATGGGGCAAGGGATGCTTTAGCCCTTTTCATATAATATTCTGGGAGGATGAGTGCAGGTGGGTGAGGTGGAGTTAGTGGAGAATGGCATCACAGTGACAAACTCCACATCTGATCTAGGTATGCAGCAGTTCTTCACATGTACAACTGTGCATACTTAGGGATCTCTCCCTATGATCAGGAACCCTGATTTTACTGTCGTGGTTATTCAGGATACCTGATGACTCTGTGCCTGTAGGTCAGAGACAGAGGTTACCCCCCACGTCACTTCCCACCCCCCACACATGTACCAGTTCCCAGGTATATCATTTGGACAACCCTTTTCTTTTACAAGCAAAGTTTTATGTGTTGACAGAGTTGCTTGTATGACTTATAGATGGTGATTGCTAGAATTTAATTTGTTCAACTGACAAATATACATCTGTCAGAGAATTTTGCTCTTTTTTGCAACTACAGAAAGAAATCCCCCCTCCCCAGAAACCAGCCTCAGTATCAGATAACCAAGCAAAATATAGTTATTTTCTTTTTGAAGGACATATATCGCCCTGCTACAGTTCTGTTAAATGAAAAGGGCATTATTTTCTTTTTAAAGGACATATAATTCTGTTAAAGGAAAATAAGGCATAGTTGCCTATTAAAAAAACCACAGTGTTCTTAATGCTGAGGTCCTTTAAGTTTGTCATAGATGTGCCAGGGCACTGTATGGCAAGTAAGTAGCACATTATTCCCAAAATGGGCAAAGATGAATTCATAGCAAAAAAAAAATACATTGTAGGAATAAGAACGATCAACAGGGAACATTTAGAGGCATACGCCCACTACAATTGGACAGGTTAGAAGTTTCGCATTTGCTAAGAGACTCACAATGAGCCAATACTTCCCAGAAGTAATTTTTTAAAGTTATTATTCATTATGGTATAAATTGGAGATTTTTACACCCAGTATACTGCAGCCCTTCTATATTCAGTAATTTGACATATGCAAAAATAGTTTATATATAAATATTGCAGTCTGTCAAGTAATCTACAATAAAATGTTCCCACCAACTTGCATAACAATTATACATTTCATATACTTCTAGAGGCTCAACCAGGTCAGTAGGTTCTTTACCACATAAAGACTGTAGGATTGGGCAGCAATTGGCAGAACAGAGCCCAGGCCAAATACCCTTACAGAGTTCTGTCTTCTCTCCACACCAGCTGCCAATCTAAAAGTAAAGGAGGATAATAACAGAGCAAAGAGACTGTGGGAATAGGACTTGCTGGAAACCATTCCCTGCTTTCTCGAAGTAGCCCTCCCATACACCTGATTTCTAACCAAGATGATGAACATGAAACATTAATTGCTCTGTTTACAATACCTAGATCTTAGGACCATTATTTCAGACTGTAAGGCTCTGCCTATCAATATTACTTATACCAAGCTTCAAAAGGCCTACTGAACAGTAGAAGTACAAGGCCTATCCAAAGGGCCTAAAACCAGATTACTCCTCCAAAGGGGGGGGGAGGGTTACATTGGCAGTATATGAGGACTAACAAGTCTTTCTGCATACAGTACTGGTACAGATGTAATGCTTCTGATCACTAACTCTATTAAGGGATTAGCAACAAGCTTCCCCCATCCTTTTTGCTGCAGGCCATAAATATGATTAATAATTATATCTGTATCAGTCTTAATCATGGTTACTACTACTAACTAGGATTTTCATCATGACCAGAGCTTTGAAGCCAGAGGAATATCCTGGTTATTGTTAACTGAAGTTAAGATGCCATCATAAACCACAGTTAAGAGTGGGGGGGGGGCTGGCAAATTAAAGAAAGGTCTGGAGAAGTGTGTCCCACAGGTCATGCCTGATCTAGAAATCTTACACTTGACAACTGAGCCATCATCATGTACACAGACTATTGTGTGGAGGAATTCAGTCACCTCACCCAGCCAAAAACAGCAAGTGTTAATCACTGTATGACTGAGGTACATGAATGTCCCTGCATGCCTGAATAAAAATACCTCCAAACGAGTGACACAAGACATCTGACTCAGTGGCATCTTAGTGTGCAAAAGGGAGTGTTTTGGGGGGACGTGGGGGGAACCCCTGGTCCTGTGACCTTACCTACAATAGGATCAATCATTTAGATTATTTTTTTCCTCTAGTTGCTAGAGGTCTCTTCACAAACTGGCCACTCATGTTTGAATAGTGTGCCATCAAAATTAATATTTTAATTCAGATTAAATCTGAACTACAACCTTCTCTTTCATTGCACCAAAGATACTGGAGGAAGCACATTCGATTCTTGCTTTGGAGAAACCATTTACAGAAGACAATTACAATAAATGTTACAACTCATTGTTATAAACAGAAATAATCCTTTCAAACATGTTTAATAGCTTTGCAGGGATTTGAGGTTCAGGGGCACCTTTATTTGAATATAATTGCTAGAGTTTCTTTCATTAGATATACTCATTTCTCATTACCAGTCATCACTTTTAAGTTATGCACATTCAGAAGAATAAATCACCACTATATAAACACTGCAAAGAGGAGAGGGGATGAAGATTTACATGTTTCAATTAGTAGAAGGGTCAGTGTCTGCTGTACTCGTTACTGGCTTGTTGAAAAGGAGTTTTCGAAAGATATTTGCATAGAATGGTCCATACACCTGTTTATTAAGGTTGACAATGCTGGCAAACTGAGATCCAATGCTCTTCACTTCTGTCTGAATCACAGCAAGGCCTCCTGGAATTGTAGCCATTGACTTCTGAGAGCATGGAGAAGCAAGGAAATTTCTCATGTACAGTTGAATTCGTTTATCTGGGTAGGGGATGAAGGGAAATCTCATTTTAATTCAATATATGTGTATCTTGCCATTCTGCCAAAGTCAACCAAGCAATAATTTAAAACAACCAAACAAATGTATAGTTAACCAGCAATACCATAACAGGTCAAGCCAACTTTCCCTTGTGTCATTCAGTCTATGTACAATAAAATTCTAAATACAGAGCAATGTTATTTTTGGTGAGCTGTGATTGCTGTCAGCTTTCCCCCCTCTTTCTTCTGCTCTTGTATTACCATACTTCTGCCGCAGCCAACCAATGCACCATTTACAAAGGGCACAAGTTGGAAGGCAGTTACACGTAATCTATTACAGTTCAGGAGCTATATTTATAACACTGATTAATCTTGGATATTATTCAGGATCACATATTTTAATCTTCCTTCTTTCTCTCTCTGAATCCACCTCACCTTCATTATCACCAGGAAAAAATTGAGAGGGGGCAGTGCAATGGCCTATATAAGGGAAGGGGGGTCTAAAGAGGGGGACCCTGTGGTTGCTAGGCAATTGGTAACGGCAGCAGCCAAATCACTAAACATAAATAACTGGTCCACTATAGATTCAGGTGGGTATCCGTGTTGGTCTGAAGCAACAGAACAAAGTCTGAGTCCAGTTGCACCTTTAAGACCAACAAAGTTTTATTCTGGGCATAAGCTTTTGTGTGCACGCACACAAAAGCTTATACCCAGAATTATACTTTGTTGGCCTTAAAGGTGCCACTGGACTCAAACTCTGTTCTCATCCAGAATAGGTATTGATATATAGCAATCTGTCTGTATCAATTTTCTTTCCAGACTGTATCACTGATTTTAATCATCTGGTATCTGACGAAGGGAGCTTTGACTCTTGAAAGCTTATTCCTTGGAAATCTTGTTGGTCCTTAAGATGCTACTGAGCTCTCTTGCTCTTCCACCGTAGACCAACACGGCTAATCACCTGGGACTGAATATATCTGATGAATGATGATCTAGAAATCTCCTAAAAGTTGGATTCAGATTTAAGAAGACCATAAGGAAGTATTTTCTGTTATATACTATAATGCAGGGGTCCCCAAGCTTTTTGAGCCCATGAGTACCTTTGGAATTCTGACACGGTTGGGTGGGGGGGGGCTTCCACAGAATTGCTGCTGCAGGAGATGCTGCAGCTTACCTTCAGTCACACAGTAAAGATACTTTTGCTGTGGTGGCAATTACTGCCAAAACAATGTTTAAAAAAATCTGTACAGGCAAATCAGAAACCTTGGTGGGCAAAAGCCCCACCTGGTCCTGCCCACTTTCTAAAAACATTTGGTAGGCACCATGGCAACCACCAGCGCCATGTTGGTAGCACAATTAAGCACAGACTTAAACAGTAAGACTCCCATAGTCCAAGAGTTAAATTACTAACCAATTAAGGATCTGATTGTATTATCTTCCTCTATGACGTTACAGATCTGACCCACTAAATTTGCATGAACTTCTTTGTTTAGTGGCGGGAAGCCCCTCTCAGTTAATGACTGGTTTATTTCACAACATGTCTTGAGACCTATGGCAGTAAGAGCTTCTTTCAAATCAAATGTCCTGCAAGCAAAAACCCAGAAATAACATTAACACAGTCAGATATAACATGGTTTTATCCCTTCACTTTTCAATTATGTTATAGTAGAGTAAGACTGCAAAAAATATTTTTAGTTTGCTATCAGTTAGTTTAAAGCAATTCACAAAAGTTATATAGAGTTCAGACAGCAGCCTTCCAGCCTCCTGTTTTAGCGCTGAAATAGACAGTGAGTGTGTGAGGATTGTCTTGGGGGAAAGTAAAACATTTTCACTGGAATTCACGATGGTCACACACAACTCCCTGTTAGGGCATTTATAATTAATTTTAGAATACACACCACACAATTGCTAGCTTCCTTTCTTTAAAAACAACACTTACTTCTTATTGATTCCGTCAAGCAGAACAAAGGAAATCTTCTTTTGTTTGTCATCAAAGTCTGGAATTCCTTCAATAGCTGCACCCACCATGTTGCTTGTTATGAGACAGATACAAGCCACAATTTTCAACTGATTCAGTTTCTCTGACAGCTCACGAAGGCGACCTTCATCTGCCACCAGTGTCTGGAACAGTTGTTTAGAAAAGGGTGTGTCATTTCTATAGCAATCAAACTTCTGGTACAATTTAACATAAAAATATTTTTATTAGGACACCAATTCTGATTAGATATTCTCTCAAGTTCATTTAGTCAAGAAAAAATAGTTTCTGTGGAATATAGCTACCAAGATTTGTACAGTATCCCAAAAGCCTGTGCTGTAATGTATTTCCAGTCTGATGTTTGTTGTACATGTTCAGAATTTGTTTCCAGCTTGTTCTGGGCAGCGAACAACCCCCCACCTCAACTGTATGCACCTTGTTTCCTTAAACAACAATTAATGGCTTCCATCAGTTTTTATGGGAGAAAGCAAACACAGCATGTCAGAGAGAGAGGTGTTTCATTACCAACTAACGGATAACCTCAGCTAAATGGATCCACATGTATTTATTTCATATGTTCACCCATTTGTGTGTAAAACATTTGCATGCTTGTCTGTTTTTTAAGGCAATATGGGGTCTGTAGAGCTAAATCTAACTTCCTGTTCACGCCTTATCTTAATACATTCCATTGCTATAAGTAGTATTCTTCTAGCTCTGCTTGTTTTTTTGAACCTGAGCCAGACTAGGGAAAATATGCTTCAAACAATAGAACATAGTAAGATAAGGAGAGGATAGGGCAGGGTTTTACTCCCTGCTGAAAATAACATTTCTACAACCACCACCCCCCGGATGTAAATGGGAGGACACATAGAAAAATACATCTCATATGCTCCTATCATGACCTGTCAAATTCACAATACACGTAATTATCATAAAAGAAAAGTTTTTAAACAGTTAACATAGAACACATTTTTTTTAAATCAGTGACACTCTTAGCACAAGAAGACATGTATAGTTTACAAAAAGACTGATTGTCGTAGGGTGCTATTGGATAGGACCTGTGATATCACTTCTGACACATAATCACTCCCCATTCCTCCTATGCACATATGTTGAGAACTTTTAAACAGTTTTTACTGTGTCTCTAGTGGTTGAACCAGATGTACAATTCCAGCATGAGTGAGTGAGATTATTACTAAGATATTGAATTTTCTCCCTCAAAAGAGGGAAGTAGGACTCTGGAGAGGTGGCATATAAATTCCCTAAATAAAAAATAATAAAATAAGTGGCAAAGAATCTTACCCACAAGTGATGTTACTTTCATCACATGGAGGTGAGATGTCAAGAGAGTATTGTACTGGGGGGGGGGGTTAAACCCCCCTGACAGAGCAAGTAGGATTCGTATTTTACCTCAGGAATATTTTTTTTCTGATAGTCCCATTGCAATAATTTCAAGTAGCTGTTGGTTAGCACCAGAGTAGGGCTCAGATTTGGTTTTGAGATCCCACCAGCACCAGAGGATGAAGACGCTTCACAGGAAACAGAAGATAGTTCATCCTGTATAGATTCCCTTATCCATTCTGTTGTTAGGTTCAGGGCACCTAGACATTCCAAGACAGTGGAGATTTTACGTGAACAGTTTGGCTTGTCACAGGAATTACTGCACAGTTGAGTGAACAGCCCTATAGGGTGTAGGGCAACCTCATTGCAAACATGAGAACTGGGAAAAGCTGCAGAGGCGTTTGGCCTCAGTCATGTCATGGTGGAGTGGTTTCAATTTTGTGTTCAGATGCCATCACGCTATTGCAGAGTAGGCTGCAACTGTTGCAGAAAGTCTGCTGGGCATTTTATGACGTAGGCACTGATGGCACAAGTTCTATTAACATGACATGACATAATAGAGTCACAACACAGTACAGGAAGAGAGAAAACAGGACCAGTATGAAGATCCTCCTATAGAACAATGACTGTATAAGACAATCCACTGTACTCCACTAGCAACGTGTTGTGTTGTCTGCTGGAGCTGCAATTTCAAGCAAGTCCAATGCATTTCTAATATAACCCGCAGTGCCATCCTAAGCAAAATTACACCCTTGTAAGTCTACTGAAGTCAACAGACTTAAGGATTGTTACTCTGCTTAGAATGGTGCTGAAGCAAACATACGACATACCAGATTGCCAAAGCTATACTCTTTCTCCAAGCCTTCTCATCCCCATCTCTCTATTGTAAGTAATTGATTCTCTGAAACTTCATGAATGGCTCTCTGGACACTTTCATTACTTTCATTTTCATCTTACAATAGTCAGAATAGTCCTACGTGTGAACTGGCTACTTCGGCAGTCACCCTTCCCTTCCCTTGTTTCCTAAACCATGGCTCTGTAGCAATTCTGCTGTGATTTTACAACAGGGAAACTACCCTTGCCTTCCATTATAATTTTGTTGTGTGTTAATGGTTTATTGCAGGAATCCCGCTCCCAGTGCGGCGGCACACAGTGACATGTACCTGGAAGAGTCCACCTGCTAATCTTATACACTACTTATGGCACATATCCAATAATTGAATGTATGAGTATTGTACTAAGGGGAGGAGTACACGAATAAAATAATAGAGATTGTTTGAGAGAGCTGGAATTTTACTACATATACATTCAAGAAACAAGACTGTTGTTTTCTTCATAGTCAAGGAAGTCAACTTTTGATTGTTATGCTATAGTGTTTTGTTGCTGGTTCCACTTGTCTTCTGGACAGACACACAGAACTGGCAGTAAGACAAACAGCCCTCTTTCCACAGCCCTTTTCTGTAAGCGAAAGCACACACGGTGAAAGGCAGGGAATGATCCCGAGTCCAACCATTTCCTGAAAACAACTGGTGGGCACCAGAAAAGGTGTCAGCACCATGGCGCCCATGAGTACCATGTTGGGGACTCCTGGTCTAATCAGACCCCCAGTTAGGAGGACAGAGATGCAAATCCCTTCTTGAGCCTCTCCCAAGCTACAGGCCCCAAAGCAGCTGCCTGCATTCCCAGGCCACTGGCTACACCCTCCTTTGTCAACAAGGAACGTACTTGGTGTTTCTTCAAGTATTTCTTGGAACTTCGCTCGTTCATAATCCACCAAGTTGCGCTGAAAGTGAGGTCTAAGACTCTGAATAGTAAAATTAACATTATCCATCCTCATGAGATCCAGAACATGGAATATTTGCCTGAAAGGATACAAGAAACAAGTCTGCGGTGTGCCTCATAGAAGAAATCTCCTTACATACCACTGAACAGCAGCCCTCTTCTAGCAACACAGTGCGCAGATCCACATGCTTATCTCAGTCCTCCAGCGATACAGTTTGGGAAAGGGGCAACTGCCACACCCTCAAGTTAAAGTCTGGCCCTGCAGAAGAACTATTATTACAGCTTCTATGGTGACTCATGCACTTGTCTGCATACATCTTGTACAGAATACATCTTATATTAAATGATCACAAATACAGAATTATCCTCATTGATGACTGAAAAAACAAACATCATGTAGTAGCAGGCAAGGGGGCTGAGCCCTACTGAAATTACTTGGAGACAAAAGTGACCTTCCACATCACGTTTTACATTCTTCCTGTGTCCAAGAAAGTAGTGCTGGGATACAGATCTTGAGAAGTTGCTCCTATTGCTGAGATATTACTCTGTGGCAATACCTGCATTTTCCTGAGAGCAGTAGTAACATCTCTACCTTACCCACAAGATATGGTTATACCAAGGGATGACTTGTAATAGGTGGATGTTCTTCTTAACATTATATTCATGCAAGCCAGAATTCTTTATCAGCAATGTGATAACCCATCCTTAAGTAATGTAAAAGGAGAAGTGGGCCAAGGACTTCAGGGCAGGATACTAAGGGTACAGAATTCTAGGCCCCTGGTCACCATGGCCTAGGGAGCCAAGCAAGATGCTGCTTGGGGACATAAATGGTCGCCCATCTCTACTTATCCTCACAACAACCCTGTGAAGTGGGATAGGCTGAGAGAAAGAGAGTGAGTGACTGGTCAACAGTCACCAGGTGAGCTTCATAGCCAAGTGGTGATCTGAACCCAGTTCTCGCCAGTCTGTATGAACAGGAGATTTGCAAAAGAATAGGTCGTAGAGGGGGGAAATGCAACAAAGGTGCTGGTCTGGATGCACTGAGTCAATGTGGCAGAGTGGGTAGAGTGTTGGCCTAGGATCTGGGAGAACGAGGTTTGAATCCCCACTCCGCCATGGAAGCCTGCTGGGTAACTTGGATCAGTTATACACTCTTGGCCTAACCTATCTAACAGGTTAGTTGTGAGGACAGAAGAATGATGTAAACTGCTATGGGTCCCCACTGGGAAGAAAGGCAGGGCATAAATGCAGTAAATAAATAAACTCAACGTGGTCAGGACATCAGCCGAGTTCAAATCCCCACTCTTCCATGAAGCTCTGAGCCAGTCACCTTCAGCCTAACCTATCTCAGAAGTGTGTTGTGAAGATGAAATGGAGGGGGAAACTATACATACCCATCTGATTTCTTTGGAGAAGGGGAGGGATGGAAACATAATAGGTTGATTTCCAATTTCGCTCTAGATCAATTATTTAAAAATCAAAGTATTTAAGTAATTCTTATTTGGGAAGGGGGGGGTGCTGTAAAGCGATGGAACAGCATTTTTTAAAAAAGCAATTACACACCAACCTGAACAAGGCTACAATATTCCCAGTGGCTTTTAACTGGTTTACATCATTATCTCTTACTGGAGCACACAGTTTCCCCATTGTGGTAATGACATAGTTTGCGAGGCCCTGGATATCAACCGCGTCATGCTGGGCCTGCTGCCTTATGAGTTCTGTGTCAAGGACCTCGCAGATTTGGCTTCGCATCCTGTTCGCGCCAGGGTTCAGAAACGAAAGAAGAATCTGCAGTATTAAAAGCAAAACAAAAACAAAAACATGCCAACTAAGATCTACCAGCCACAACTAATAGCCTGCAACAGTAACATCTTACATAAAATATACAGTGACCAGCTGCCAAAAAGAGGACACATCTCTTGCACTTTCGGTGGTTTCATGTAAACAGGGAATTCCATTGGGGTGGTTTGTCTCATATTTACATGAGAAGTAGCACCTACCATTCCCTGTTTCCCTTTGTTTCTGGGATACATGCCTGGCAACCAGTGAGGGAGCTGCTGGTGACAGTGTGATGTCACTTCTGGAAAAATCCAGAACTGCTACCAGTCCTCTCTAGGAATTGTCAGAAACTATATGGTAAGACTGTAGAGTTCCTGGGAATTCCTAGAAAGGACTGGCATAATTTCTAGGTTTCTCCCAGAAGTGACATCATGCTGTTGTCTGTCCTGCCAATCATTTTTTCCTCCCACTGACACTTTGAGTGGTGGAGGGTAATGAGGTAGGGGATCCCCAACCCACGGGGGGGGGGGCTAGCAACTTTAGAGTCATCCTACACAACCACTGTCCTTTAAAATCATTGTCATCATACTACATTTAGATATAAAACAGGCACATTCCTGCTGGCGAGCCAAGCAAAAGAGCCAGTTTACTTAACAGTAAACATATTATTATGCCTCACATTATATAGCTTCAATTTTTATCATTTGTTTTATCCTGTGATAGAGACCTTCTAGGTTGTGGACTGCAAGGGGTTAAAACAGAGATGTGGCGAAGCGATTTTAATTATTACAGCCAGATTAGCAAAACAATAAACTTAGCATGGGCGAGGAGAAACAGAAATCAAAGCCAGACTTGCCTCTTTAATTTCATCAAACAGCTTGATGGCATGCTCATATTCGGGGGGATCTTTGTTCAGATATTCCTCCAGACGATCCCAGAATGCTTGGTGTACAATTTGTCTCACTCTTCCAGGCAAACTATAAGAGGGGGGGAAATCCACAAACTATATTTGAAGAAGTGAGAAGAATCAACTGTCACAAAAATTAAGAGTTCTCTGCTTGTGAACAAGCACCAAATCATTTCATTAACTGCAAGATCCAGAGCCACCGCACTTGTCTTCCTGAGCTTCCAGGGGTTCAGGACCATTTATGCCATAGGCTCCAACTGGGTACACAAGAATGCTAGGCAGCCCCAGTTTCTGCACGCATCACTCTAGTGCCTAGTTCCCAGCATGGGGAACTCTGTTCTAACTATTTTGAGACTGGATCTTGGTCTCTCTACAGTAGGAGAAAGATGAGAAGTTTGGTGTAGGTACAGGGAAGGAAGAACGGTAGTTGATTTATCTGTAGGAGCATGTAAAGATACAGATACTGACTCTGGCTGAGGACCCAGAAATCCTCAACAAGTACAGCTGGAAGAGAGCTTGCACAGAACTATTTTAGGAGGTGTAAAGGGCATAACTGGCAAGGAGATGACACTGGCTACCATCCAGGCCGATCCTGCGGGTTGCATGTCACAGTATAATTTGAAGTCATAAGAATGCTCCATGCAGTCAGTCAGGTGTGTCACTTGGGAAAGGCCCACACCTACCTGGGAGAAAGGCATAAGGAATTTTATTCTGCCTTTCCATTAGAATAAATCGAAAGGCAGCACAGAGATACAACAATCTAGTAGTACCTTTGCATATTCAGGTCAATCCTTTGAATAGAGAAGGGTACAAGTCTCTCCCTCTCAGAGCCAACTGTTTGACAATCCCATGAGGAAACGGGATTTATGAAGCACCTTTTAGTAAGCTTTCTAGACAGTACTGACTGAAAAACACCATAATATTAGCTTTTTCATCTGACAAACTCTGGACTATGAGTAATACTACAGGTAATGCTCTTTCATTACACAGAGCACAGAGGATTCATTAGTGGAAACCAGTGTGGTGCAGTGATTGCAATTACACCAGAAAGACTCAGATCACATGGACACATGAAGCTGCCTCAAACAGAATGACACCACCAGCCCATCAAGGTTAGTGTTTCCTACACAGACTGGCAGTGTGTCTTTGGGGTCTTTAACAATACCTATTACCCAAGCCTTTTAACTGGAGATGCCAGGAATGGAACCTGGGACATTCTGCATACAAAATAGATGTTCTACCACTGATCCACAGTCCTCCTCCCACTCCAGCCCCCATTCCGCCCCAAATCTCTCCTCAGCCACAAAGCTCACTGGGCAATCTTAGGCCAGATCTCACAGAGTTCATTCAAGGAAGAAACACCAGCAGAGCATTTTTTTGGAGAAAGATCATCTAGCCCAGGGGTCCCCAACCTTTTTGAGCCTGCAGTCACATTTGGAACTCTGACACAGCATAGTGGGCACAAGAACAAAATGGCTGCCACAAAATGGCTGCCACGGGAGGTGAAGCCAGCCACAAATTGATCGCTAAAGCTTAACTTCTGTAACACAGTGCAGATCCTTGTGCTGTGGTGGCAGCTGCTGCCAAAACAATATTTTTAAAAATCCGCACAGCAAATCAAATCTCCAATAGTTAATCAGAGCCTTGCTCTGACTGCTTCCTAAAAACATTTGGCGAGTGCCAGGAAAGAGGTCACCAGGTGCCATGGCATCCAAGGGCACCACATCAGGGACCCCTGATCTAGTCACATACAAACTTCATGTTTGGAGTCATACTGAATGCTCTGTGTGGCTCCCTTGAAGACCATTTGGAAGCTGAAGTAGTGCAGCATCCCAGCTTTTGACTGTGACTAGCCACTAGGAACATATGATACTAGTAGAGTCAGCTAAGAAATGCCGGTTCTTATGCTGAAGCAGTCCAGAGAGTATGAGACCAAACGATATCAAGAAGCATCTTGGTCTTTAAAAGCCCCCTTCTCCCATTGCTCAGGTCATATTACAAGCCTCTGCTGCAAGTGTCAGGGCCCTTCAGAAGCTAGACTGATCGTTACCAGCAGCAGGGCTATCTTCCCTTTAGGGCTCACCTCCCAGGGAGGTCTGACAGGCTTCGGTTCAGCTGTTGCCATTTAGGTGCACGGCCAAAGTCTGTGTCTTAGCAATTTTGCATTTGGAAGATGGGGGGGTTGGAGCTGCTGCATTCTTGTGATTAATCTTCCAATTTAAAAAAACAACAACACTATTTCAAAACTGGATTTATCATTCAAGTGCCTTGTGGGGCTGCAAGACTGAGAGACAAGGTATACTTTTAGAAAACATATAAAGAGAATTATCAAGCTACCTGAGCCGTCACAACCTTTGCAGAGCACCGTAAAGCAGGGCAGGCCACCTGCGGCTCGGCAAAATTTGTTCAAGAGCCAGCTCCTGTACGAGCAGCATCCGCGTTTTACGCTGTGGCTTTTATGAGCTTCTCGATTACCTGTTCTGTGGGTGCTCTATGCGCTGCAAGTGAAAATTCTCATTCACAGCAATTTCATGAGCTAGAGTCAGGTCTGACAAGTTTCTTGCTGCAGCCATCATTTCGTCAAAGGTGACCACTTTGGGAGGGCTTGTTGCTGGAAGAAATGGAAGAAATGGACGTGAGAGTGCCATGAAACAAGAGATGTGAAAACTAAACATCCAAAATTTCATTTCTTAATGGGCTGTCCTAAGCAGAGCTGCCAGAAAAATCAGATCTGGGGCAAAATGCACATGTGGAAAGGAGATGGAATTCAATGAGAATGATAGTTACAGTCTATAAATCAGAGGTCTGCCAGCAAATACAATCCTTAAAGCCGGGAGCTAACAGTAAACATGAGTCCACCCCTGCCCCTTCCATCTAAGCTGGTGGTTTCCAAACACTCTCTCTTCACTAAACCCACAGTGGCTCAGTTCAGACATGAGGTTCAGTGGCCTCCCCTACTCTCTTTTAGGTGCCCGAATAAAGCATTTCTTTTTACCCAGGCTTTCATATGAGGAGTATAGCTTTTACAATTGTTTTTATTCGTTTGTTTCTAGGCTGAGAACTCTGTTTTTGTTCTTTATTTTTTTATTTATTTAGAACATTTCTCTGCTGCCTCCCCAAACAATCAGCTTGCAATGGCTTACAAAATTATACATGTAGAAAACATAGATCTGCTGTAAATAGTTTTAAAATTAAATTATTAACAATCCAGACTTATAAAAATGGCTTGTTAGATACAAGATTGTCCCATTGGGCTTGCATGCTTCCACATCCTTTGGCGCACAGCTGCAACAGTGAACAATTCCTGGCTACTGCGAAAGCAGAGTTTGTCATGAAGTAGGAGCTGCGGTGGCTCAGTGGTTAAGACACTGAACTGCAGGCTGTGGAAGGTCAGTAGTTCAGCAGTTCGAGACCCGGGGGCCGCATGATGGAGTGAGCTCCCATCTCTAGTTCCAGCTCCTGCCAACCTAGCAGTTCGAAAGCAAGACATTGCAAGTAGATAAATAGGTACCACTTCGGTGGGAAGGTAACAGCGTTCCGTGCGCCTCGGTGTTTAGTCATGCCGGCCACATGACCATGGAAATGTCTTCGGACAGCGCTGGCTCTTCGGCTTTGAAACGGAGATGAGCACCGCAACCCTAGAATTGGATTCGACTGGCTTTCGAGCAAGGGAACCTTTACCTTAGGAATCAGACAAAACTACAAACTGCAGTTTGTCATCCTGCCTACAAATAAGGATTCCGCAACAGGGTTCAATCCTGTTTCTTGGGAACCAGAAAGTCTTCTCTGGCACACACAAGGGGAGTAGGGAATATGGGAACCAGAGACTTGTTCTCTTAACAAACAGACTGTGGTTTGCTCATTATGTCTGAATTTATTTGCTTCTGTGTGGTTGCCATGGGACACCAAATGCAGTAGAAAGGATTCTGGAGTATTTTCTAGGGTGTGCAATCAGTATATGTTCAGCCCTACAGGAACTCTATATGTTCAGCCCTGCAAGAGCCCTAGAACTTCCTCAGCACTCTCCTGCAGACAGACACTGCAGGAAAACATTGGAGGCAATGGCTTTCAGGGAAGGTTGCCCACTCTTAATGATCTTTTTACTGAAGAATTCCTAGTGAGCTTCCAGTGAACCCCAGGGTTTCTCAAGCACAGTTGACTTTTGGCTCTGCAAAAACCTCTGACTTTCAGCTATGGCAAAAGGACCCCAATCCCATGCATCCCACAATACGTGCAAGTAATTCCTGCTTGCTTACAAGCTGGAGAGCTGGGCTTGCTTGAAGAGTCACTGGTAAAACTTTGTCTTGAATATTCAGAGTCGCTGGAAGAAGCTGCGCTTTCAGATAATCTTGAAGAGTCACAGTCACCGTTCTGCTCATCATTGAGAGGCATTCTGGGTCAACTTTTGCAGTTCGGAGTATGCAGGACCTGAAAAGAACAGCTGAGTCATCTAAATCAGTCTATTTCCCAAAAGCCAATTAAAAAAAAAAAAAATCAAACGAGCAGCATGGGAAAAACAGCCATGTTCAGATTCGAATACAAATAGTGATGCCAGCCTCCAGGTGGGGCCTGTAGATCTCCCAAAATTAAAGCTGATCTCCAGATTACGTAAATCAGTTCCTCTGGGGAAAATGGCTGTTTTGGAAGTCGGACTCCATGGCAATATACAATGCTGAGTTCTCTCCCCTCACCAAACTCTGTCCTCCCCAAGCTCCACCCCCCAAATCTCCAAATATTTCCCAACCCAGAGTAAGTAAAGGTAAAGGTTTCCCTTGCTCGAAAGCCAGTCGAATTCGACTCTAGGGTGTGGTGCTCATCTCCAAGCCGAAGAGCCAGCGCTGTCCAAAGACGTTTCTGTGGTCATGTGGCCAGCATGACTAGACGCCAAGGCGCACAGAACGCTGTTACCTTCCCACCGAAGTGGTACCTATTTATCTACTTGCAATGTCTTGCTTTCAAACTGCTAGGTTGGCAGGAGCTGGGACCAGACACAGGAGCTCACTCCGTCATGCGGCACTCGGGTCTCGAACTGCTGAACTACTGACTTTCCAGTCTGCAGTTCAGTGTCTTAACCACTGAGCCACCACAGTCCCAAATACAAAACATGAATAAGGAAGGCTGGCCTACTGTATATTCCTTTTATCTGATTTTATTTTCTAAGCTGCAGTGGCAGCAGGCTGTCCAACTGCTAAGCATGTTTGATCTTTGGTTTTTATAACCAGGAACTCCAGACTGGCTTATTCTGCATAGTGCTTAGAGGCCTGTTTAGGAACCATCACCCTCCATTAGAAGGAGGAGGTCTGTAATTATGAATTAGTAATCCCTGATTCTACAGCGAAAAATCCTAGGAGGGAATTCAATTATGCATTTTTGCATAACAGCGTTTAATTTGCATTTTTGTACTTCTGCTGACACAGGGATGGGATAACAGGCAGTTTCCTGCAGCCGTATAGATATGGAGCACTGGGCATTTTTCTACACTGTATTCATGTAGAGATGCTTTGCTTATGTACCGGCCACAAAGTTGTTGACCCAGGGGGCTAGGTTAGAAGAATGACAGTTACTCTGGTTAATCCCACAGTATCATCCACTGTGAACAAATGCTCCCTCTAACCTGTGGAGGTGAGCAAAAATTCTACTTCATGAGCTACTGGCATTCAAGTTGCGAGTGAGCGATTTGGCTACTGCCTAAATTAGTTTGCTTTGGAGCCATCCTTCCTGAGCTAAGGCAAAAATGTGTGAGCCGGAGGCTAAAAAACTGTGAGTTAGCTCACACCAACTTAGTTTAGAGGGAACACTGCTGTGAACATAGTGCTTGGAAGGATGAAGAAAGCCAAAAGGAAAGCCAATGACTGAGATGCAGTACTTCACTTCAGAAGTATAGGATGAAAGGTGGTCTTAAATCTGAAAACTGTTTTGGGGGGAAATGCCACCTTTTGACACTGGTACTCCTCCAAATTACTTAGTCCATCTTTAAACGTCCTTATTTTTCATGGATTAGGGGGAAAGACTACTTTAATGTTTTATGTGTGACCAAAAGGATTAGAAAGCATGTCGCTTACCTGAAAACACATTGGGGTGGGGGAATGATTCTGTCAGTTTCCAGTGTGTTGGGAAAAGCTGCCTGTAGTGGATTCCTACTAGCTACCTTCCCTGTCAACAACAGCACAGTCCCTACCCCAATCCCAGAACAGTTTTGCAACTATGTTTGATAATGTTCATGAACATTTTTGGAAGGTACACATATGCACTTATATGCCACTTCAAAACTTGTTCTTATATACAGCTCATCAGAAGCCCAAGGAGAGGAGCAGGACTCAGATATGATGTAACACTTTTTTGGCATACACATGCATCTATAAGGCAAGTCACATCGCAGCCTGTGTCTATCTATGAAGAATTTTGGATGGCACTGTTAATTAACTGCAACATTTTAAGTGACTAACAAGCACAATAATAAGCTGAGTAACTCTGCTTGTGGATTGCAATGTAAGCCTGCAAAGCCTAAGCATTCGGATTGAGAGGTCCAATGACCGCGCCAGCAGGGGAGGGAGAGAGACTTTCCGGGAGTGGGGGTGGAGCACTGCGACATGCTGGTGTCATGCATTGGTGACATCATCATGTCAGTGACATCACACAGCAACGGTCTGGTTTGGGGGCAAAGCTCTATGGTAAAACGGCCCTCAAACCATAGAGTTTTGCCCAAAAAACAAGAGTGTTGCTGTGCGACATTGCTGATATGATGACATCACTTCCAAGTTTGGGGGTGGGATTCCTCCCATTGGCCATAGGGTTGTTAAGCAGGTTCTCTATGTCCACTGGTCATAAGAGTCATGACTCTGAGGAAGCCATTAGCACTTAGAAGGGGGGGATGCCAAACGTTTTGTCACTCAGGACCATTCAAAGGTTTATAGCAACCTACCTAAAGCTACAGAAACGAGTCTGTCCCAAATTTGCAGAGACTGATGCAGTTTTCCTACAATTAAAAAAGAAGCAGAAATGATTAAATTCAATACTTAGTATTTCCAAAGCATTTTAGTGGGTTAGATTATTGCAACAATGCACAGAAACTCTGTAAAAGTGAGAGGTGGGACAGAAGTGCAACTGAGGTGGAAAGAGCGAGGAGCTTGCTGAAGGCCACCTGGTGAGATTAGAACTCAGGGCTTCCTAGTTCCCATTTTGAGCCATTACATGACACCAGTTCTCATTCTTGGAAAGCCAGTGATTTTAAACAGCAGCTGCTAGTTCATTAAAGTCACATTAGGAAACAATTTGGCTCAGGGGCGGGGCATCTGCTTTGCATGCCGAAAGTCCCAGGTCCAGTCCCTGTCATCTCCAGTTAAAGAGGCCAGCCAGTAGGTGATGTGAACAGACCTGTGACCTGTGAAGAACTGCTGTCAGTCTGAGTGACAAAACTGATCGTGACACAGCAAGGGTCTGATGCAGTATAAGGCAGCTTTATGTATTCAAGTTTATACTTGTCAGGACTTAATGGGGTGAAATCATTTCCTGCGCTAAAGAAGAAGAGCTAATTCCCGTGTAGCTCAGATGATTAAAAGACCAGCCCTGCACTAAACAACACGTGTAGGACAGGAAGTGAGTATTCCATCCCATTTGGAGCTCCATGTGGAATTTAGAGCGTCATACTGCAGATACTCCAAGTATGTTCTGGCTGCGAGCCAACAAATTTAATCTTGCATCAAGTGCCAAAAGCTAAAGTTAGATCTCTTGCTTACAAGACAGAACTTTGCCAGATGTTCCTTACTTTAAGTAAACTTCATGCATTCCCCCTAATGGAATCAAATTCATGTCCTGCCAATAGGACAGCAAAAGGGGGTCACCCATAGAGACAGCAGGGGTTCAGCAAGCTCAGGGTACTCCCCAGGCATGCCAAAACATAATCATTTGAAAATGCCATGAGGATCGAGTCCACCGTACAGAACACTTCCCCCTCCAATCCCGTGCCTTTTCAAGTGCCAAAACAGCTGCATTTGAAGAGGCACCAGGGTATGTGTGTGTGTGTGGAGTGAGAGCTCCGTGGCTCCATATGTTTTGAAATGACAATAGAGAACTCATACTGGCCATGAATTCTCCTATCACGTTTAGCTTGGGTCCAGGATAAACATATGAAGCCACTTTATACAGAGTCAGACAATTTTTCACTGTTGCCTCATGTGACTGTGAGCAGCTCTCCGTGATCTCTGGCACATTTCCCAACCCCTTACCCCTCAAACTCTCCTGTATAGCATATACCAAAAAGTAAGGGGGAAAGGTAAAAATACCCCTTTTCGTGTTGTACAGCTCAGGTTCAGGGCGCCACATGTAGTTTCTTGTTCAGCTATCCAGAACTTTAGCCACAATTATGTTACAATACTTAACTGCAGATTTCAAGACCAGGTAGCTATTCGTCTAGCCCCAGAACCTAGCACTGCTGCATTATTACACTACCTATGGGAGAATTTCCTAATACTTTATTCTGTCCATGCTTCCTTCCTCTTTCTGCATCTTCTTGCAGGTTCCCACATTGTTCTTTCTAATAGCAAAGTTCACAACCCTATCAGTAGGACAAGGGAAGAGCTTCTGAGGAGACTCACATGAACACATCAAGCTGCCTTATACGGAATGAGACCCTTGATCCATCAAGGTCAGTACTGTATAGATTAATAGTGGCTCTCCAGGGTCTCAGGCAGAGGTCTTTCATGTCACCTACAACCCGGTCTTTTTAACTAGAGAAATGCCAGGAACTGAAACAGGGATCTTCTACAATGCCAAGCAAACACTCTACCATGGAGCCATGCCCCCATACTCCTTTGATATGAAAAATACTAAGTTGGTAAATTTAAAAAACTGCCTGCCCCCAAATAATGAATAGCCACTGAGCATGCTCCATGAAACAGGGAATGCTGACAGCAGTTCAGCATCAGTTAAGTGGGCAAAAAACTGGAATCAGGGTGGAAATTAGAATGATGGAGCTCCTAACAGTTTTTAGGATCCTGGAAGAGGACACAGCACCCAGGGGACTGGCACAATGAGGCATGTGGCCCCCACCTTAATTCCCCATCCCTGACACAATGCTCTAAATTTGTAGGGGTGCCAATCAAGTCAAAACTGGAAGAGCACTAACAGGTCTTTGGTTCAGACTGTCGTACTACTCAGGCTCAAGACTACTCAGGTGCAAGACTATTTCCCTGGCTCTTGACCTTAGCTGTTCAGGTAATGTTGCTACAACGCAAGACAGCTAAAGGGTAGGGGAGCAGAAAACTGTTCCCATAGGCCAGAATTCAACACATTTTCCACTACTGCAGTTTGGGAGGACATTGCCAACTGTTCATTCTCCTCTCTTCTCCCTGCAGTTCCTTGCAGGAATTCCTTGCAGGACCCCAGTATTATAGAAAGTGATAGGTGTATTTGATTTCAGAACTCTAAGATCCATAGCACCATTCAGATGTTTTTTGTTTTAACCAGGGCTCTTTTTGTAGAAAAAGCCCAGCAGGAACTCATTAGCATAACAGGCCACACCCAACAGCAAAACTCATTAGCATATTAGGCTACACCCCTGACAGCACTGCTCATTAGCACATTAGGCCACACCCCCATGTTACCAGAAGTGTGGTCATCCAGCCACACCCACCTTTCCCTTCTTATTCTGTTTACCTTGTTTATTGTCAAAACCCAGGGCTATTTTCGTAGCAGGAACTCCTTTGCATGTTAGGCCACACACCCCTAATGTAGCCAATCCTAATGAGTTCCTGCTGTTGGGTGTGGCCTATTATGCTAATGAGTTCCTGTTGGGTGTGGCCAACTCGGGAGCCAGCCGGAACTCCGTTCCTGTGGGTTCCTGCCCAAAAATAGCCCTGGTTTTAACACACCCACCCCAACACATACACACAAACCTTTTTTTAACACTCAAAGCATAAAAAAGTTAAATTCGGCTGGTGTTGTCAAGCTCCAGGTGGGGCCTGGAGTTCTCCTAGAATGACGCCTGATCTCCAGGCTACGGAGGCCAGTTCCCTTGGAGAAAATGGCAGCTTGAGAGGGAAGACTCTGTTAACATCACATCCCTGCTGAGCTCCTTCCTCTCCCCAAAATCCACCCTCCTCGGGCTCTGCTTCCGCATCTCCAGGAATTGCCCAGCCCAGAGTTGGCAACCCTCAGCTTGGCCCTTTTGGGTTTGTGACATAATCACATCAGTGCAGTTAACAAAGTAACATTGTGAGTCACTGTCATGAAGGCCCTGAGGAATTCACTTAATTCTTGGGCAGCCATAGCAACAGTGACACATTTGCCTATTCACGTAAAACAGTTTTGACAGAGCGAGGTTTGGTTCTTAAACAGTAGGTGAGGTGGTAGATCTATGCCTGGATTGTAGACCACCTCAGGCTGCACGTTGGGGTCCATATGATGAACCACAGAACGTTCTGATGCATAGTCAACTCACTACCTTGTGAGAGAGAAGGAAGAAGACGTTTCCATGCCCAGGAATGTTTTTCTTTTCCTTCCATCACAGGAGGCCCCTTTTACAATCTAAAAGTGGTATAATCTAGGCAGGGGCTTACTGCCTCACTTGCTGTTTGTGAGAACCAAGCCAAGGATACAGTGGCCAGTTGGATGGGACCAGTGTTCCCTCTAAGATGAGTTAGTGTGAGCTAGCTCACAGTTTTTTAGCCTCCGGCTCACACATTTTTGTCTCAGCTCAGGAAGGATGGCTCCAGAGCGAACTAATTTATGCAGCAACCAAATCGCTCACTCACAACTGTAATGCCAGGGGGGCGTGGCAGCAGTCCTTCCGGTCGGCTGCAGCTTGTTCGCTCTCCTGCAACCCCCAACGGATAAACAACGTTTACTCTTTAAAAACAAGGTAACTTTATAAAAAACTATCAATGCCAGCTAAGGGAAAAGCCAGAGGCAAAAGAGGCGTTAAAAAGTCACCTCTTAAACTATTAACAACAGAAGAAACGGACTCTGAGTCAGAGCGTGATTTTTCTTTGCCAGAAGAAATGGCCGCAGCTGCAGGAGATACAATTGCACAGGCGTTAAAAGAAATAAAGGAGGAGATTAAAAGCGAGATAAGGACTCTGTCTTCTGATGTTGGACTACTAAGAAAGGAATTCGCTCAGCTCAAGAGTGCTATCGACCCGATAAATCAGAAACTAGACGAAATGGCTTCAGCTGTAAAGCAATCTGAGCAGAAGGCAGACGCTGCTCTTCAGGCAGCCAAGAGAGTTTCGGATGATTTATCAGAGATACGGTCGTTTGAAAATTGGGCTAAGAACAGGATTATCCTCCATGAGACAAGACTAAGGGAAAGAAAAGCGAAGCTACGGGGAGTTTCCCCCAACTTTTGTGCAACAGGAAATTTACAGGAGGAACTCAACAAATGGCTTCTGCAGATACTGCAGTCGGAAGGTGCAACAGAGACCTTGGAAGAGATAATCACTTCGGCTTTTCGAATTAACATTTCAAAGAGAGCCCCCGCAGGAGTTCCGCAAGATATAATCATTGAATTCAAAGAGCTCAACACAAGGAATAAACTGTTTAAAATAGCTCGGGAAAAAAAGGGTTTGCTCTTAGAGGACACTTGTGTGTTTTTATATGCTGACGTCATCCCAGAGGTGCTGATTGCAAGAAGAGGCTTGCGTGAAACGGCTAAAACATTGAGAGAGAAGGAAATACCATACAGATGGTTAGCTCTTGGACATTTGGCTGTGACGATAAAAAATAAAACATTCACAGCATATAATGAGATGACGGGGAAAAAACTTGTTGAAGCTGTTATGAAATTGAAAGATGGGGAGCTGTGAGGGGAACAACATACTTTGGCATTGATAGTTAGGTTATAGGATAAGAGGTAATAATTCTAAGTAGGATGTTTTAGTATAAGAGTAGACTGTTTCTCTTAACATGTTTATGAAGGTTGGAAATATAGAAGAGCTGTTTAATTTGAAGTTAAGAATTTACAGTGCCATAAATGGGTGTAGCAAGGAGGCGACGAGTGTGCCCCCCCCAAGACCTCCGAATATAGGGAGAGAGGTTATTTGGCCTCTCGCTGTAGAGGGGTTCTCTACAGCGCCCACAATCGGAGGCAACCCTTTCAACTTTTCGTTTTAGGTACAGAAGAAAGTGAACTATGATTGTGTTAAACGGATATACTCAACAATAAAAAGTGAATTAAAAAAAAAAAAAAAAACAACTGTAATGCCAGTAGCTCACAGAGTATAATTTTTGCTCACAAGACTCCACAGCTTAGAGGGAACACTGGATGGGACATGGCTTAGTTATACTGCACTGAACAGCTGATTCCTGATTGCACAGGCTTATGCAGGGGGATGGATGCAGCACAGTGTTTCTGCAGTGCAAGGACTTCCATCCACAGGCAGCAACTTTCATGGATCCTTCTCCAGCGGCAGCCCTAAGTGCCTCCCATTCTGCTCCTGAGGGGCAGGAGAAGATCCCCCTCCCCAGGAACAGGGTTTCAGGGGGCAGGGTTCAGGCTGCCAGGGGAGGTAGGAGCCACAAATAGTTGTGCAAGCAGAGGTCCTTGTGTCTTTGGAAGTACTGCACTGGATCTAACATGGGTGAGTTTGTAAGTTAAAAAAAAAAGTTGTCAGGCTTCGCTCGTCCGTCCCATGCATAAGCATCCAGCAGAACACAAACTGCCAAAACCAGTATTCTTCTTCTCCCCCTTTCTTTGCATAGTTACCCTCGAGTTCCCACCGGTGTCATTTTACAGTGGTAGATGTCAGCAAGATTCTTGCCAGAGATCATTCAAACAACCTGTAATCCCAATATGCAGAGTATCAGATTCTAATCTACTACTGAGGCCAGCACCGGACAGTTTCCATAATGCAGTCCATTCATATTTGCCACACGGATAAAATGAGGGATCCGGAGAACCATCACAAAGAAGTCTGTCTCTACATGTTTCATTCACCCTGATAAACATTTCCTGAGAAGAATTTAGGTCAGTGGACAAAAATCAGTGTCCAAAAAACACAGCTTCATTCTCCCTAGCATTACACTCTTCCTTTAGAAGAGGCAGTGAAATGCTATCACCATCTTAGACCCAGAGTTCTAAAGTGCTGTTGTGAGAGCTATTTTAAGCAGAAAGAGGGAGAGGCATACACCGACATACACACGTCATCGGATAAAATAGGAGCACACGGCAATGGGTACAGTAAATAGTCTTGCCAACCTCAAGGTGGTGGCTGAAGATCTCTTGTGATTTCAACCGATCTCTAGGTGGCAGAAATCAGTTCCCCTGGAGCAAATGGCTGCTTTGGAGGGTGGCCTCTACAGCATTGTATCCTGCTGCAGTCCCTCCCCTCCCCAAACCTCACCCTCCTCAGGCTCCACCCCCCAAATCTCCAGGTATTTCCCAACCCAGAGCTGGCAACTCTAACAGTGAACCATGGTCAGTTGGAGGCCACACTACATTTCTGATAGGCTGGCCCGTTCTTTTCAGCCGTACCGGCTCAGGAGTTCTTCCGCATGTAGGTTCTGATGCAACTTACTGGAGGTTGCACTTCCAGTGCTTTGTGCATTTAAGGTCCTTGCTTGGCAATTCTGCAGATTGAGACAGACAAAAGAAAACAGATTTGTGAGCAAAATGCACAATTCCATTGTGTACCATAGCCACTGAACAGGAGCTGCCATGTCTGTACGGAGGGAAATTCTATAATGGTTTGGATTTTATGTTGCATTCTCTTTTGTAATTTCAGTGAACAGATTTAACTTGGAACAGATACTATAAAGTCATCCTGTAATGACCAGGTACAAACACTGAAGCTGTGCCGCCTCTTCCAAATAATACAGCTCTTCCATTAAAGTGGATTAACACAGTGAATTACCCAGAGCTTCAGTTAAAATCAAAGAAGGTGGGAGGATCTAGCCCGTGTACATGTGGGCACAGAGATCTACTGAGGTTTCAAACGGTACAGTTTTTGAATTCTGTCTTTCCCTGGTCTACTTAGTATTGCAGGTTAACCGTCTTGGCGTGGACACCGACATCTCTGTGTTAGTTTTGCTTGGACTTGCCTTTCTTTCTGTATGCTGATCGATACAGATGGAACAGTAGGAGTCACACTGTTTCATGATTTGAACTTGGGAGTTTTGGGGTCTGTGTGCTGATGCCTCTGGTGGAGGATAACATATGGCTACGTAAGGAAGGGCAAATCAGGCCATGATGCTCTTTATGGCCCTTGCAGGGCTCCACTTTGCAAGCACTGCCAACTCCATTAGTCCCCCTTGACTAACCTGACCTCATAAATATTCCCAGGTTATGCCTGGATCTTTGCCTGAGTATCAATCCACTCAGTCTGTTCCTGCTTTTCGTTCCAATTCTCAAACTCTGCCTTGGAGGTATTACTTGTCTTCTGACCTTGGATGCCTGTGACCCAGACTCCACGGTGTTTCTTCTGATCAGTCTTACACCCAAGCCCCCAGCGTTTAGTTACTTTGGTTTCTGACTTGCCTCAATGGCCCACGGAATGTCAGTCCCTCTTCTGATGGGATTCATATCTCAGGTCTCTGTGATGTTGCTGCTGACAGTGATGTGACACACTGGTATTCAACTAGGGCAGCAGTTCTCAAGTGTTAAATGTGGGAGCCACTTCTAAATTTACTATAGTTATTTTGGGATTTACTAAGTAACAGCATGCTAATTAACCAGCATAAGACACAGGAATCTAATCCTTTTAAAAAATGTTTGGTAATAGTGGGGTGTGAGCAATGCTTGAAGCAATGCTTGAAGCCATCCTCCAATTCAAGTGGCTCTTCCTCCAACAGAAAAGCCACTTAAGTTGGAGGGAGGCTCCTTTGGCTGTACTGAGCAACATGCTGTATTTCATGGCCATTTTGCACACCTAGCAGAGACAAACCCAAATTTTCCATTGAGTCTCCCAAAGCCTCTTCTGCAAGCTCGTCCTTTATCCCCTCCTGACTTTACAACCCACCTGCAAGACAGTCACAACCTATTTTTGGGTGCCTGCCGACCCACAGTTTGAGAACCACTGGGCTAGATGGACTGCCACAATCCCATTGGCATTAACTGTCGGTGCTATGCAATATTGTGTTTTGTGCACTGCCAAGAATGGTGAACCTAGAGCTCATTCCAAGTGGCAATTTGAACACAGTCTCCATTTATTTTGAACAGGAGATCTCCCCACATATCATTAAGGGCAGTAGACCAGCCTCTTTCGAAGTAGACCTGCCCTCAACCATATATAAAGCAGTAGGCTTCGGATATCAGAAGTGGGCCTAGCAGGGAGAAAGTCACCTCAGGGACAGGCATCAGGAAGGTATTGAAAGTCCAGCACATCACACATGCCCTTTGGCCCAACCACAGTGTTAATTGTGATGAAGGAAGCCCCAGTCATATACAGAGGTCGATTCGGGGGGGATCGCAGTTCCCCCGGGTGAGGTGTGGGGGGCGGGGCACATGACGAAGCCCCGCCCCCTGCTTCCGGCCGCCCCGCTTCCGCACCTCATTCAGCCAGGAGGAGGCAGGAGAAGAGGGAGGGTAAGTTGCTTCCTGCCTGCCTCTCCCCACCCCTGCCTGCCTGGGGCCAGGGAGGGCCTTGGCGGAGCTTCCTCGCACTCCCGCCGGCCTTGCAGGTCCACCGCCGGGCCCCTGATGTCAGGGGGTGTGGCATATGCTAATGAGTTATGCTAATGAGTTCCCCTAGCTCTTTTTCTACGAAACTACCCCTGGTCATATATGAACAGAAAAGTTTTCTTCCATCACATCTGGTGATGGTAGTTTTGGAGCAGCAATTCATATGTAATGTCTATGTTATACAATCATTTATCTATACCCCCATACGGATTGATAGCGAAACAGGGCCAGGTACACATATTAGACATTTTCCTGCAGGCTCACACATATTTCCAGGTTTGGCCAGGGAACTGCAGAATGTGGATCAGAGGTTTGCACTGAGGAGAAAGGTGGGAGTGCAGTCTTACATGCTTGTTCTGTCAGGGCAGCTCCTCTGACAGCCAGCATGGTGTAGTGGGTAAGAGCAGCAGACTCTAATCTGGGGAATGAGGTTTGATTCTGCACTCTTCCGCATGAAGCCAGCTGGGTGATCTTGGATCCTTCATAGCTCTTTCAGAGCTCTCTCAGCCCCCAAAATAAGTATAGCTTGCCACTTTAGTGGTGCATAATGCTAAAAGGGCTAGAACTTAAGGCTGCCAGACAATCTTTGAAATGGCTCTACTGGTAGCAGGAGCTCCTTTGCATATTAGGCCACACACCCCTAGTGTAGCCAATCCTCCAAGAGCTTACAGTAGCCCCAGTAAGAAGAGCTCTGTAAGCTCTTGGAGGATTGGCTACACTAGGGGTGTGTGGCCTAATATGCAAAGGAGCTCCTGCTACCAGTAGAGCCCATATGATAAGTATTACTATTAGCTCCTCTGTAGTAACCCTCCCATCCCATATGACTATTTCATCCAAGCGAGCCCCACAATGCCAGAGGTCAATAATCTTACTGGGAGTTGTAATGAGAATTTAGGAAGACCCTCCAGGCACCCCCAAAGAACTGATCCCAGCTGCTTATGAAATAAGTTCATAGATTTATTTTCTACATTTCGGCCTAGAGGGCATAAATGCAGCTACTCCACCACCAGGATGCTTAGAACCTCTCCTCCAACATTATCTCTTCATTAACAATATCATCCTCTGTATACTTTTTACAAGAATACAGAAAAAACAAACATGAAGAAAATCTACACCCCTTCAGTTTGCGCTTTATTGGATAAAAACTATGGCCCTTAGCAGCAGCAACGTGTCATTTATTCATTTCTACTTGTAAACGTCGCCTTCACCGCCATATGTAACAGAAAGATGGAATAAAAATCTTCTAAACAAAGAAATATCAAAATTAGCATCTGAAAATCTATTCATGGAAATTCTGTTTTGATGAGTCCTCCAAGACCGAATGTGGTCCATTTATTTGATAGGAATCTCATCTGGTTTCTGCCAGTTACGGTCCAGCTGACCAGGCTATATTTTTTTCAGAGGACATTGCACACACATCTCAAGTTGCTAATAACATGGTCTTGTCTGTAGCTTAAATTATGAATATTCAGTTTCTGTATGCTGGTTGTTTCTCAAACAGTTCAAGAAGATTTAGATCGAAGCATTGCAACGCCTCATCTGACAAGACTTTCAGTGCAGTCCTAAGCAGAGTTACACTCTTCTAAGCTCATTGAATTCTATGGATTCCGAAGGGTATAACTCTGTTTAGGATTGCTCTGTTGATTCAGGCTACCCAATTTATTGTGGTTGATTTAATAGAGGGTTTTCCAAGTTATGAAGATAAATGAAAGAAAGAAATTTGTTTGTAGCTTCTGGTAAGAATAGAAAAGGTTTCTTTATTTTATTTTAAAACTTTCAATGCAATGCTTGACTTTTAGGATTTACGCTTACAATCTTAAAGCATTTATATCCCACCTTTCCTCTGGGTTCAAAGAGGCATACAATAAGAGTTAAAACATCCCCAACTAAAACCAAAGATAAGATGAGAAGCCCAAATATCTTCTCCCCTTAAAAGGTGTTCGCTATTCAAACACCCTCAAAAGTCCTGGCAAACAGGCAGGCCTTGCAGCGCCTCCTGAAAATCTCTGAGGAAGGGGCCCCACTCATCTCTACAGGGAGCTGGAGCCCCCCTCCAGCCCACAGAGCCGGTGCCACAGTGGAGAAGGCCCAGGCTTTGGTTTGATGCCAGACAGGCCACCCTGAGTGGTGGGATAGCCAAGAGATGGCTGTCTGAAGACGTAGTTGGCGCACAGAGACATATGGACCGTAGCTGGTACACGGGGATATTTACATTACTTATAGTCTGCCTTTCTCACTGAGACTCAAGGCAAATTCCACACTGTAAGTATTATCTTTGTTGATGCTGAACATTCAGTCATCAAGATTTGGGAGCAGTCACTAAATTGCCCTCAAAGTTCTCTTTCCATCCCTTTGCTCCACATAAACCAGCTATGTGCCATCCTATCTGTGGTCATTCCAAGCAGCCTTGTGACCCAATAAGTATTATTATAGTTTGGGATTAGTGTGTTGCCTGCTTTGGTTTAGGTCTACTAATAGCCTGTTGCTCTTTGCGGAGCTAATCACAAATCTGCTTAGAGATCTTCTACTCTTCTGCTGTTGAAGATAAACATACTATGGCTTGGATCCTATGAATGAATTTCATGAGCACTAAATAGTTTTTGCTGTACAACACGCCTCCTCTTCCACTAAAACTATCAATTGTGCATGGAACTAATTCATAGGATCCAAGCCTAGGAATTCTCAGACATATTCAACCTTATGCCTGTGTTTAAGTAGGGTCCTGTGATAAATGATATTCTCACAAGAATAGTTTGGGGTGGAACAGAGATCATTTATCTCTCCACAGTTGAGGATTCCTTCTCTTGAATTTACAGTCTTAAGAAAAAAGAGAAAGTAGAATTCTGGCAATTTCAGATGGGCTGTTTGGACAACCTTGGACCTCTGCCTTGGTTTTAACCTAAATCACAGAATTGCTCGCTGTGAGGATAAAAATGGAGGTGGTAGAAACCACTTATACTGCCCTGAACTCTTTGAGAACAGACAGGATAAAAATATAAATAAATAAATGGTGTGGTACCCAGGCATCTACCAGAAAGGAAAAACAGCAAGGATTAGATCTATGCTTCTGATATAAATTCATAATGTGTCCTCAACCAATCTAGTTTTCAACTCAAAATCTGAGGCACAAGAGTATGGGAAGCAGCAAGACCAAAAAAAAAAAAAGCTTAATTGATGGGGGGGCTCACTTCAGAATAGGGTGACCAACTTCCAGGTGGTGGTTTGAGACCTCCAACTATTACAACTGATCTCCAGGCAACAGAGACCAGTTTACCTGGAGAAAATGGCCACTTCGGAAGTTGAATTCTATGGCATTATGCCCCAAACCCTGTCCTCTTCAGGCTCCACCCCCCAAATCCCCAGATAACCCTACTTCAGAATGTACATGCTTGTGCTGATGTGTTGCACATTGCACATGAACAATGCATTGGGCCGCAGATAAGGCAGCTTGTGGTGTTGTGTGTTGCCCAATACATATTTCCCGATGCAGGAGTCGGTTCCTTATTTGGTTCTTCATGCACCTCGGAGTTGCATAAGGACCTATGAATTTCAGTCATGTCTCATTCAGCCCTAGGGCAAGTTTTGTACCCCATTAAAAAAAACAGCAGCAATATTTGACACAAAGCTCTTGAATTGTCCAGAACACTTTACCGGGCTGGATTTAAAAAACACCCCCACCCCATTCACTCTCCTTTTAACATCCCGCCTGCGCTCTGGACAACTCCAGAGTCCGCACAGCTGTGTCATTTGAGTTGACCTTAATCAAAAGGGTATCGCACGGATTTTTATTTTTTTGTCCAGAGAAAAATCCCATTCGGCAACTTGGATTCGCTACCCAAAAGAGCTGTACATTTTTACACCGCCTGTCCTCCTGGGAATCCCAGAGGCTGGCGCAGGGGTCACCCAGCGGGCTTCGCGGCTAAGCAAGCGACTAAACCCAGTCCTGGTCTGACTCTTTTAACCTCTACATTGTGCTGCACACGTCCCCCTCCGCTGCGCTCCAGAACGCACACACAACCCCAAGCGGAGCTCTTCAAAAACTCCTCCTCTTCCTCCATCTGCTTCAGTTACCCTCTCGCCCCTCCCATGTATTTTTGGCAGTTACTTCGAAGTACGGCACTTTGGCACCGCAGGATCAAAACAAAACAGCGTTTCCAAGGGAAGCTTCAACAACAAAAAAAGGCCCCTCTTCAGCGCCACCATTTGCTTCTTCTGGCCGCTAACATCTGTAACGAGAGTCCTACACAGAAAACGCTTTAGAAACCCCTCCGGGCCTTCCTATTAGGTTCCCGGGGGGGAGGGGGGAATGCAACGGGCTTTTCTTTTCTTTTAAAGGACTGACGAGACATTAGCTTTGTAAACAATAGCCATCGCTTAGCAAATGTGGCAACAGCTACCCTCCTTCCCTTATAGTCAGAGGGAGGTAGATTGTTGTTTACCATCACCATTCGCTTAGAGGCTGCAATTCGTTGCACACTTAAGCCCCTCGAAAGGTAGCAGGACTTCTTTCCGAGCAAGCAAGCATTAAGATCGGACTGTGTACCGGGTTATGTTCAATAATAAATAAGGGGGCAGTATACCGCACCTCTCTCTTTCCCCCCAAAAGCAATAAACCACCTAGTGATCCCCCCCCCCCTAAATTTAGCTTTAACCCTATGCACACTAGGATTCCCTCTGCCTGAAATGGGGAGGGGGAGGATCTGGGACTAAGCCGAGTTTCAGGTAGAGAAACACCTCAGGGCAAAGGAGAGAAGAAAAAGGGAAAAGTAGAGCAAAACACAAAACCCCTCTATATTCACTCACCCCCCGAGGATATCCTAACAGGCAGCTTCCCCCAGCTTGCTCCCCTTTCCGTCTTCTTTTGCTTCCACTCAGCTGTTCTCAACCGGGCTTTAAACTCCCTCCTCCCCCCATTTAGTTATACATAGTCCTTGGCTAGTCTATCGGCAGCTGCCTGGACGATTCCACTTCTCTTTGGAGAGGTGTGTGTGTTTAACATTTATTGCGCCAAAGCGCCAGTAACTCGGGTAAGCAAAGACAAACAGGCCCTTAGAGAGTCCAGCACCCCAAAGTGTATCCTCCGTCTCCAAAGTTTGGGGATTATGGGTCCAGAAAAGAGGATAGGGCAGCGCATAAAATCTGGAAGCCCCCTCATGAGGAGAAAATGCGCCCTTCCCGGACGAGGGGTGGGACAGACTGGTGTTTACGGAAGGAAAGACGTGTCCTCAGTTCTCCCTGTTTGTTTTCAGCGTAGGTTGTCCACCTCCGAGCGCGCGACTCTTAGGCTGCGGCTATAACAGATGCTCACCACCCTCGAGTCACCCGGACTTTGAAGGTGGGGCCAGCCAAGCAGCCATTGTAGGCTTTTCTAGATTTTATTGCTTCTGATTGTTCCACAAAAGTTTACTGTAGGTGTGTACTGACTTGAACTGGTTTCATAGTAGGGGGGGGGGGGGGAAAGAATGGGAAAAATAACTATACAAAGGGAAAGAAGAAAGTTCTTAT